GTGGTGAACTCCTTCCTTTAGCTTTTCCTTATCAGTGAAGCTCTTTATCTGACCTTCAATTCTAAATGATAGTTTTGCTGGGTAATCTGGGTTGTAGATTCTTGCTATTCTTCACTTTGAATATTTCTTGCCACTCCTGTCTGGCTTGCAGTTTCTGTTGAAAAATCAGCTGACAGTTGTATGGGCCCTCCCTTATTGGTAACTATCTGCTTTTCTCTTGCTTTTAAGATTCTCTCTTTGTCTTTAGCCCTTGGTGTTTTAATTTTGATGTGTCTTGGTGTGGTCCTCTTTGGATTCCTCTTATTTGGGATTCTCTCTGCTTCCTGAACTTTTAAGTCTATTTCTTTCACTAGGTAGGGGAAGTTTTCTGTCATTATTTCTTCAAATAGGTTTTCAGTATCTTATTCTCTCTTCTTCTGGCACCCCATAAGTTGGATGTTGGTATGCTTGAAGTTGTCCCAGAGGTTCCTTATACTATCTTCACATTTTTGGATTCTTTTTTCTTTTTGTTCTTCTGGTTGGGTGTTTTTTGCTTCCTATTTCAAATCATTGATTTGACTCTATGGATACTCTAGTCTACTGTTGAATCTCTGTATATCTCATATTTTTTATTTCAGTCAACGTACTGGTGTGCTTAATTTATGACTGGTCCTTTTCCATTTTTTTTGGCATTCTCACTAAGACCCTTGAAAGTCTCACTAAGTCCCTTAGAAGTTTCTAGAAGATTCTTGAGCACCTTATAATTGATTTTGAACTCTTATGTCCAGTAGTTTGCTTTCTCCCATTTCTTTCATTTGTGACATGTTTCTTAGTCTCCACATTTTGGCTGTTTCCCTGTGTTTGTTTCTATGTATCTGGTAGAGCTTCTAAGTCTCCTTGAATTGATCAAGTGGCCTTGTGTAGTAGGTGTCCTATAGGACCCAAGCCTCCTCAATCACCGGAGGTGGACACTCTTGGTGCACCCCTTTGTGGGCTGTGTGCAGTTTTGTTGTAGTTGAGCCTTGATTGCTGTGAGTGTCACTGGGAGGAATTGACCTCCAGGCCAACACTGACGTGGAGACCAGCTGTGACTACAGTGGGAGAGCTGCTGTGCAGGAGACACCATTATGGTGCAGGACTTGCTTCAGTGGGGCTTTGGTGCTCACTGAGTCTGCCCCTTGAGTGTGTCACTTATGATTGTGAAGAGTTGTAATGGTCTGACACTGAACAGTTGGTACACTGGCTCTTGGGTATCCAGGGAGGTGCAAACTCAGACACTGCCTGGGGCCACCCAGCAGAAGCTAGAGATCTGAAGATACATTTTCTTTGTATCAGGTTTGGAAGTGCCCAGAGGAGGCCCAGCTGTAAAGCAAGGCAGGCTGGTGCTGGTTCCAGGTCTTAAGCCTTTTATTTATAGGTTTGGGGTTCCATGACCCAGCTGCATCTTGTTTGACATGTTTTTAGCCTGAGAAAGGACAGACCATTTATATGGAAAAGCCACTTCACACAGCTTGGGAGGGGTTGTAAATTGGGTGGTGGGGCCTCAGAGAATCACCAGGACGGAGCAAACAGAAATGGCTATCAATCAGCTTACACCAGGGAGGTCCCAGCACCGGAATAATGACCCCTGGGAGGACCTCTGTGTGGAAGAAAGCTGCCCCCAAGTTCCTGCCCCCGATGCTAGACAGTCCAGTTTTCCTCTTAGGAGTCTGTGTTCCCCAGAGCTGGTCAGAGGAGGCAGGAGCTTATAAATTCAGTTTGTGGTGCCCATAGGGACTTCTTTCCCCAGCTCTGGGACCCTGGGCCGGGGGGGTCTGGTGTGGGGCTGGGACTCCTTGTTCCTCCAGGAAGCCTCAGCAGAAGCAATCTCCCTCCCGATTAAACATCAGCACACATGGGTACTGGACCAGCCCGTTCCACAGCTCCTACTAGGCTCAGTGTGTTTTACTTCTCTAGTTGTAGGTTAAATAACAGCCAGTTTTCTGGTGGTTCTGGATGATGGTTTTCTATATTTTAGTTGTAATTTTTATGTGGTTGTGGGAGGCAGCGAGTACAGGCATTTGCCTATGCAGCCATCTTGGTTCTCCAAGAATGAGTTATTAACTCAATGTTTTGCAGTCCTTAATAGTTCTAGGGGCCTCTTATTGTGGCATATTTATGCATTTTAGTTGTCTATTATGTTTTGAAACTTTATTTTTTCATATCACTTCATATTATTTTTTTAAAATCAATTTCTCAGTACTTCAACTGTCCTTCCATTCTTTTATTTTTCTCTTTCATGTATGCCATGTTCTTTGGAAGCTCGTTTAGACCAAGTTAATGGCCTTTAAGGCTTCCTCCATGTAAGTAGGAGTTCACTTCTTGAATAATTATATGTCACGGGCGAAGGCGGGGGTGGCGGGAATCAGTATTTTAGAGATGCTTAGGAGGAGCATGGCCAAAAAAAGTTTGGGAACCACTAGTTTAGTCAGTCTAGAGCTGAATCAGCCTTTGATTGTGGACATTTACCCCTATTTACAGCCTTCTGTTCTATGTTTGTCTCTTGTTATAATATATTGCTGGGTTTTGGTCCCTCATAGAAGAGTGGTTTTCTTACCCTAGACTTGGCAGGAACTTCAGAGCTTATCTAATTCAAATTGCTTTCTTATCAGATGGTAAAAGTGAGGCCCACATATAAGTGACTTATGGAAATCTAGAACCAGATCACAGAAACTATATACTCTAAGTTCTCTTCTGCTAAAAACCTATTAAAATTGTGAATTTAGCTCTTTTGGGATACTGTAAGTTCTCCGTTCTTCTAAAAGCAACTGATCTCATATTTGTTTTTCATAATAGTTAAAGCCAAGTTTTAAGTTACTGGCTGATAGCAGTTATCAATCTGTTATCTCTTGGGTTCAATTTACCCTTCAGTATCTTTGACTGGATTTTTTGAGCATTTCTCCCTATAGTGAGCACAATTCAGTTTTGTAAGTAGGAGGAGGAAAGCGGGTCTCTTTCTGGTTTCAGTTTGTTTTGCTCTTCTGCTCCTAATGCAGTGTCAGCAGTGCAAGTGGCTGGGACACCTTGTGGTTCGGGAAGCGTGCAGTTCTTCAACCAAACACTGACCTAGGCTGACCACACCTGGCAGCACCTCCCACACAGACACTAATATACCCAGATTCTATGTCCACCCGGCAGGCAAATATTTCATAAATTAACATGGTGTGAGGGACAGAACTAGATTTTATTTACTAGAGCACAAAATTCATGTACTTGTGGGGAGGAGGGTTCACTCACCTCTAGCCTACACCCTCTAGCAGTCCAGGAGCCCTTGGGGGATGTCTGACTGATGGCTTAGGCCCTCTCCTTAGTGCTGCCACAGAGACAGAAGAGGCTCCCACCTCCGCTACTGCACCAGCGGTGAGCCTAGCTTCTGGCTGAGCAGCGTTCCCGTGGGAGCACACTGACCACTAGGGGGCAGCTCCTGTGTTGTCTGTGCCTGGTGGTCAGTGCACATCATGGCGAGCGGTTGAGCGGCCTTAGCATATTACACTTTGATTGAACAGATGACCAGACACTTAGCATATTAGGCATTTATTATATAGATGATATATAAAGAGCTTAAGTTTTATTTAGAGGTTACCTTAAACCCAACTAGCTTATTTTATGGCCTGATGGGAAGAAATGGGACTAATTTGGAACTTTGCAGGTGGGCTACAGTAGAATAGACTGGGAAGGACACAGCTGTTCTGATAGGACACAGTGAATACAGTGGTGGTGGGGGGGGTTATACTTCGATTTATGTCAGTCTATGCTATTTCAAAATTATCTTTTTGTTTCAGATTAAGCAATTTAAGGAGCTTCTAACTCATAAAACACCTTCTGTTAATATCAAGCAGCATGGCATTATATTAAATATTGGCAACTTAAATTCTACAACTCTTATTTTTTAGAGCCACCCTGAAATAACTTTCATTTGTTCCAACCTACATTTATCTGTCAAGTCTTTGAGGTAGAAACAAGCAAGGAAGTTTAAAGGAGAATGATATAACCGCACTGTTCTTTTTAAACCTTGTGTTTCCATATATCCTATATTATATAACTGCTGATTGACATTGACAAAATTTGTAAGACGCAAGAAAATGTATCTTTTACTAAGAGTTCTGGGTTAAAAAAAAAACACCAAAACACAGATTTTATAAAAGCAAACTAATTTTATTTGAACAATTATGGAGAGGAGGGTAGGTGAGCATTTACTGTAAAGCAGAGGGGAATATTCTATGTCAAATTTTAAAACATAATGGTAGAATAAGCTAGAGTTTTTTTTGAAAACAATGTTTACTACAACATAATAACTCTTCATAGTGGTAAACCAACTATTATTACTTGAATGTTTGTCTATTCCAGTCTTTTTAATATTTACAAGTGCTGTGCCTGAATATGTAAATAAGGCTTAAGGGTGCAACAAAATCTGTTCTCTGATTCTTCCTAATGAAATACCAAAAAAGCAATAAATAAAAATTTACATAGGCTCATAAATATGCCAATCATAAGTTTTAAGAAAAACAATTGGACAAAAAGAAAAAATAAACAGTTTCAACAACAAGTAATTTAAACATCATATCAATTTTGGCTTACATACCAAGTGTTGAAAAAAGCTAACTTCAAGTGTTGATGAATTCAGTAACTACCAGTACAATCTATCCTTTATCCCCCCAACCTCCTCCTTTAAGGGTAGCAACATTTTCTTGAAAGATTTTAAAAATTCAGTTTGGATCATGATTTTCTTAAACAGATTTAGATGCTTATGAGAGACTAGTTATATAGCAAGCAAAACAATTTTCCTTATATTTTTAGTAAGCTGTATCAATGAGGAATATGCTATAGAAGGATCTTTAACTTTGAATACAAACAATAGAACCTTTGACAAAGAGCCCACAGTTTCAAAAGAAGCTACTTAGAAAGAAAATATATGTGTTGCAAATGAAGGTATGCATAACTGTCTGCTTCTTGATAAAAATACTGTAAATATTTTCTCACTTTTACTCTGCAGAATCAGAACTTGAAAAATAATAATCTTTCTCTTCTTCATCCAAGGACTCCATAGCATTAGTGAAAAGTTTTCCAATAGTAGAGCTTTCTCCTGAGAAGAGTTTAATAAAAATGATGAATACATTTCTAAAAGTAATTTCATTAAAAATAACTGTAAGATATCAAATGGTAGGTCTGCCCATTTGACAACAGTTAATTTTAGTACCATGTTAATAAAGAGACTGCTCTACAATAAAACTGAGCTACTAAAGAAAGATATGTGTATTACCTTTGTTAAGTAGAGTTTTTCTTCTTGATGGAGTTGAAAAGTCACTTTCAACCTACAAAAAGAGTTTACATTAATAGCAAAATGGTACCTTCTGTGAAGCCTGCCTTATCCCCAGAGTACTTATAACATCTAATCTATAATAATAATAATAAAATTGTAATATGCAAATCAACCTAACAAACAGTGGAACGAATGTCTGGACAACCCTGCCAGCCAAGGCTAGTGTAATGCAATTGGTGTGTGTGTGTGTGTGGGGGGGCTATCACCCCATGATCACCCTGCAGAGGGAGGTGATCAATCAGGAGGCTCCACGATGACCCAAAGAGGAAGGCCCAGGCCATGGACCGGCGGGCTGCGATGGGTAGGCAGGGCATCCCTTGGTGGAAGTAACCCATCACAGAGCCCTGGCTGGGTGGGTGGGGCCTACCTCTTTGGGGAGATAGATCATGGGGTTCCGGACGGTCAAGAGGACACAGGCCAGACTGAGGTGACCTCTTCCCCCAAGTGCACGAATTTTATGCACCAGGCCTCTAGTCATAATTATCCATGAAATGTCTAATTCTCTTTTAAGATGAATTTATCTAGGGCAAGAACCATGATTTATTCAATGTTATTTCCCACATTATAAACTTATGCAACAGCAATTAAAGGATAGTCTACGGGCCTCTGAAAATTGCCTAAATCTCCTAAGTACTTATGCCATGACATTATACTAGCAACATTTTAAAATTCTTTAAAATCTCTCCTACAAAGGGAATTTATAAGCTTTAACTGCATAATGCATGCTTATTTACATGAGTGCTTTTTTAAAAAAATATATATATATATTTTGCCGGGACCGGTTTGGCTCAATGGATAGAGCGTCGGCTTGGGGACTGAAAGGTCCCGGGTTCAATTCCGGTCAAGGGCATGTACCCTGGTTGCGGGCGTATCCCCAGTGGGGGGTGTGCAAGAGGCAGCTGATCGATGACTCTCTCTCATCGATGTTTCTATCTCTCTCCCTTCCTCTCTGTATAAAATCAATAAAATATATTTAAAAAATAAAATTAAAAAATTAAAAAAATATGTATTTTATTGATTTTTTACAGAGAGGAAGGGGGAGAGAGAGCTAGAAACATCGATGAGAGAGAAGCACCTACCAGCTACCTTTTGCACACCCCCTACTGGGGATGTGCCTGCAACTCAGGTACATGCCCTTGACCGGAATCGAACCTGGGACCTTTCAGTCCGCAGACTGACACTCTACCACGGAGCCAAGCCAGTTTTGGCATACATAAATGCTTTTTAAACTATTGGCCTAGCTGGTTATCTTTAAAAACCGAAAAAAAAAATAATAGAAAAGGAAATATGACAGTATACCCACTATGAGAAGGGAAGTATTTTTAAAACTTTTGAGATACAAACTCATGTTCATAGATTGTGATGTAAATAATTTATTTTCCCTGTGAAATGAGACAAAACATTATTACATTTTTTACCTCTCAAAATCATTTGGTGAAAGAAACCAGTATCATTATGACCCCCAGGTCATACCAAATATGAGTAAAATGAAATGAGAAAGCTTAAGTAGCTTGTTTCACCACAAAGCTGGTATCGGGAGTCAAACCTTGACATTTGAATTTTTACCACTACAAAAATCATTTGCTCTTTCTATCCTCACACATTGGCTACAAAATATTAATCTATGAAAAAATGGGGCTAAACATCAACAAATCAACAAACGACAAGTGTTGGCGAGGTTGCGGAGAAAAAGGAACCCTCTTGCACTGCTGGTGGGAATGCAGACTGGTGCAACCACTGTGGAGAATAGTGCGGAGTTTCCTCAAAAAAACTGAAAATGGAACTCCCATTTGACCCAGTAATCCCACTTCTAGGAATATATCCCAAGAAACTAGAAACACCAATCAGAAAGGATATATGCACCCCTATGTTCATAGCAGCACAATCTACAATAGCCAGAATTTGGAAACTGCCTAGGTGCCCGTCAGCAGATGATTGGATCCAAAAACTATGGTACATCTACACAATGGAATACTATGCTGCCATAAAAAAGAAGGAATTCTCATCATTTGCAGCAACCTGGATGGAATTGGAGAACATCATGCTGAGTGAAATAAGCCAATCAATGAAAGAGAAACACCACATGACCCCACTCATTTGTGGATAATAAAGAACATTATAAACTGATGAACCAAGAGACAGATATAGAGACAGTAAAGCAACAGGCAGACTGTCAAATTACAGTGAGGAGGGGAGGAAGATCTGGGGGGACTTGTGTACATGCATATAAGTACAACCAATGGACATAAAACTCTGGGGAGGGAGGGTATGTATGGGAGGAAGGGAGGGGGGCAAAAAAAATCAATAAAATATATATATAAAAAAGAAAAAGAAAAAATGGGGCTAAATCACAAATATAACTTGGCAGCTGAAATTATAGTCCATTAAAAACAAAGGTTTTTAAAATTATGTAAAATACAGAGAAATAAGTTTTTAATAGTTTTTAAACTATGAAACAGTTCATATGGATATATGTGTATGAACTGTTTCTCATTTTGCCGAGAGCAGTGGACTAGGGTCTTACTCAGTATGGCCCATGGATCAGCAGCAGGGGCCTCACCTGGAGGTTGCTAGAAATGCAGAATCTCAAATCTACTAGGTCAGATTTAACAAGATCCCTAGGTGATTGCCATGCACATTAAAGTGTGAAAAACACTTGTCAAGGTGACCCAACTTCTTACTGGCAAAACGGACACTAGAAGATGCATCTTCTCACTATGTTAAGATGATTCCTGATCCTCTACAACAAACCAAAATTTCATTTTAATAAGGAATGTGGGACTGGAAAAGGGAATCTGGGAAACACCAAGAGGGAGGCTGCCTACATCTTTAATTATGGAGTAGAGATAATCTCCAGGCTGATTTTCAACCAAGCTCCCCAGAGGTGTTCTTTCCTGTGAACAAGTGAAGCCCACAAAGATTGGATGTGATTAAACGCAATCTTTAGTTTAGAAGCTCGGAGAGGAATTTTACTCTAGGCAAGTGTACAATGTAAATATTTCAAAAAGGGTGAAGGAGGAAGAGGTGTTCATAACTTGGTCAAAGGAATATACCTTCAGGGGATAAGGCAGTCATTTCCCATTCTACTACCTCCATAAACTGTATTTCTCTAAGATTAGCTATTCAGCTTGAGGAAATCTGAGGTGAATTTGCTTTTCTAAAAGATAAGTTATCCAAAATAAAATCAAACAAAACTTTAAAATCAAGAGGATTAAAGGATTCTCCCTTTTTTTTATTCAAAGGGATAATATATCACTATTAAAGCAAGGCTGAGTTAAAATTTTTCTATAATTGATTTTAAATATTGATCTACGTATATGCAAACTAGCTGAATCTGAAAAACATTTAGAATCTGCATAGAATTTGATGAAGTTTCTCATTTTATAATAATCATAACTCAGTCTGAACAATTTCCCAATCGCGAAACAGCTTTTGTATCTGGCCCGAAATGCCATTCCCTGACTTGTGCTTTTCCCACCCTGCCTGACTCTGTGAATGAACATTTTTACCATTTTCATTTTCCTGAATACTAGTCTATCAGCTGCCACCTGTAATTTACAGCACTTGGATACTTACCTCACTCACAACCTCATGTTACATTTACTTATATTAATTAGGCTGTGTAATGCATGCTGTAAGTAACTTGAGGTGAAGGCCTGTTACATAACTTATAACTCCCGCAGTTTGCAATGTATTATGGTTGTTCCATAAATATGTGTTGAATAAATCTAGTGTGAAGAATAAAAATACTTACTGTTTTTTTCTTGATATTGCCCCAGACAACACCACCTTTCTTTTTATGTTTTTTTTGCATATGAAAAACATATTTATCACAATCATTCCTGTTTGAATACAAAATAATTGTAAGTCAACATTACCATAATTTTATCCATAGATTGAACAATTGACAAATTTAATTTGTTTCAATTTCTAAAAAGTGCGTTTTCACTAACATTTTTAAAGACAATGGTGTACCTAGGAAGACAGACAAAAAGTTTAGATTTAAAGAAAATGGAAATACCAGATAAGAATATTCTAGGAAATTATGGTTTTGTTTGTTCATTGTCCAATTTGTGCTCTTTCCCGTCTCTATTTTGCTGTTGCTTCTTTTTCAAAACTAACTGTGACTTCTTATTCATGAATTCCCTTTTGTTACACCTTTTGCTGCTTTCTTCTGGCCACTTCCTTCCCTAATCCAGACTGAACCTTGAAGATAACTTTAAGGTTGATGAAAACCCTTAATTTATAGCATCCAACTGTGTTGATCTTCAATTTGGTGTACATCTATGAAGTTTTTTCCCTCATTTCTTTTTACCTTATCTATTTTTTTGTTAATTCTCATGGGAAAATATTTTTCCCATTCAAGAGGGAGAATGAAAGGAAAGGGAGAGGGAGAAATAATGTGAGACACACACAATGATTGGTTGTCTCCTGTCTGCCTCAACCGGACTGGGGATCCAACCTGTAACCCAGGTATATGCCCTTGACCAGGGAATTGAATCTGTGACACACCAGGGTTTTATTATTTATTTATTTTGTTTTGTTATAATTTTTATTTATTTAAATGCTATCTTATTGTTGACAATATTACAAATGTCCCTGCATCCCCCCTCTACATACCCCACCTCCCAGCGCCTGCCCCACCCAGGTCTTTAACACTCCATTGTCTATATTTATTAGTTACACATATATGAATATGAATTATTTGGTTAATCTGTTCCTGTCTCTCCTCTTCCTCCTCTGAGATATACCTTCTCTCTTAATCTTCTTCTTCCTAGCAAATAACCCTGACTCATAATTTACAGATGAAAATTAAACAGAATGGTTATTCTCATTTCCCCCTACAATTCCTTTTTTTTTTTTTTTTAATACAATAAATATCAACCGAGCACCAATTCTAATTCTTTTTCTTGGCCTCCAAGATATCCTATATGATTGATTATCTGTTCCTTTGTGACTATTTGGGAGCAGCCTTAAAGGTTTGACAGGTAGACATTTGTAAATGCGTGACTGTATTAAGATATGATGAGTACCACAAACACTCTTGCATATTATTAGATCAGCATATGGGATAGCCTATTGTTAGACCTCCTTATCACTTTCCATCTTTTCTGTGTAACATTTTACTGTTGGCCACCCCTATTTTTCTTAGTATCATATTTCAAACTAGAGGCCGGTGCACAACATTTGGGCACTGGGTGGTGGGGTCTCTCAGCCTGGCCTGTGCCCTATCACTCCCCTAAGTGGGCCTAAGCCAGCAGTCGCTGTCATGGAGACAAGAGATGCTCCTATCACTGCCACTGTGTTCACCAGCCATAAGCCCTGTGGAGCACACTGACCACCAGGGGGCAGCTCCTGTGTTGAGCATCTGCCCCTTGGTGGTCAGTGCACATCATAGTGACTGGTCATTCTGGTGTTTGGTCAATTTGCATAGTAGGGTTTTATTATATAGGATAGTTTATAGCTCAAAATTCAAAGTCTCCCAAGATATCTTAGTTTCTCTCCCAAGGGATCATCAGTGTTTTCAGTCTATGTATCTTTTCAGATATTTAAAGCGATTATGTACAGGTATGCACATATGCACACTGATGTATATCATACCTCTATACAAAAGTGGCAATACATAATTCAATGTACGTATGTGACTTTTTCACCTATATTGTGGACATTCTACCACAGCAGCACATAGAGAACCTTCTCATTAATTCCTATGACTCTATAATGCGCCGTCAGTCACCTGATCAGTTCCTTTTTACGGACGTGGAGCTGTGCTCATACTTTGCCGTTATAAGTAACACTAGAGGCTTGGTGCGGGGGGGGGGGGGGGGGGGCAGTGCTTCAGCCCCGCCTGCGCCCTCTCCAACCCGGACTGCTGGCTCCCAGCCACTACTGCCTGCCTGCCTGCCCCAACCACTGCTGCCTGCCAGCCCGGTCAGCGCTTACTGTTCCCCTACCCACCCAACGGCTGCTGACTGCTCTCTGCTGCCGGCCTAGTCACTCCAACTGCCCTCCCCTGCTGGCCCAGTTGCCCCTAACTGTCCTCTGCAAGCCTAAGTTCTCCCCAACTGCCCTCTCCTGCAGGCCTGATTCATCACAACTGCCCTCCCTTACCGGCCGTCTTGTGTTCACATGAGGGCAGCCATCTTGTGTGTTGAAGTGACAGTCAATTTGCATATTATTCTTTTTATTAGACAGGATTGAAAGGAATAAGCTGAACATTCACAATTCTAAAAGTAGGAATGCTAGGTTAGAGAGCATGTGCAAAGCATATAACTTTGATATATACTGACAAACTGCTGCCTAGAGATTGAACTAATTTACCTTTTTGATAATAATTCATGAGAATGACTTTCTTAATTTGTAGGAGTGCTTTATCAGGGAAATTAGCCTTTTTCCTGTTATGAGTTCCACATATTTCTTTCTCAAATTGTCATTTGTGGTTTTTAAAATTAAATTTATTGGGATGATATTGGTTAATAAGATTATATAGGTTTCAAATGGCCATTATAATACATCATCTGTATATTACATTGTGTGTGGCACCACCCAAAATTTAGTCTCCTCCTGCAATCATATATTTGACCTCTCTATCCACTCTAAACTACCATAATGTGTTCATGACTTTTGTGGGGTTTTTTTGTTTGTTTTTTTAAAATATATTTTGATTTTTTTACAGAGAAGGATAGAGAGTTAGAAACATCAATGAGAATCATCGATCAGCTGCCTCTTACACACCCCTTACTGGGGATGTGCCCGCAACCAAGGTACATGTTCTTGACCGGAATCGAACCTGGGACCTTCCAGTCCGCAGGCTGACGCTCTATCCACTGAGCCAAGCCGGTTTCGGCATGAGCTTTTGTTTTGCTCATTCATTTGTTGCTTTCCATTTGACATCTTACAGATGAGTGAAATCATGACTCTTGGCTTTTTTCGTCCAACTTATTTCAATGAGCACGAAACTCAAGATCCATGGAGCCTTAGCCAGTGTGGCTCAGTTTGTTGGGTATCATCCCATACAACATTAGGTTACTGGTTCCATTCCCAGTCAGGGCACATGCCTAGGTTGCAGACTGGATCACTGGTGTATGGGAGGGGAGGAAGGGTGCACAGGAGGCAGCTAGTACATGTTCTGGTCTCACATCAATGTTTTTCTCTTCTTCCTTCCTCTCTAAAAATCAACACACACACACACACACACACACACACACACACACACACGCACACGATCCATTCATGTTGGCACAAATGGCAATATTTCATCTTTTATGACTGAGTAGTTTATTGTATATATGTAACACATCTCCTTTATCCAATCATCCATCAAAGGACACTTGGGTTGTTTCCATGTCTTGGCCATTGTGAATAATACAGTGAATATAGGGATACCTGTGTATTCACAAATAAGTATTTTCATTTTCTGCGTAGACACCATGAAGAGGAATTGCTGGGTGGAACCTCCATCCTGTTTCCCATGATGGTTGTACTAATTTACATTCCCACCAGCAGTATATGAGGGTTCCTTTTTCTCTACATCCTCTCCAACAACTGTTATTTTTGTTAGTTCTTTGACTGTTTATGTTTGATTGGTACCAAATGAAATTTTTTTTAATATAGTGAACTACATTCTTTTTGTTAGTGGCTTCTGGGTCTTCAATCATAGTAAAAAAGACCTTCACTAATCTAAGACTATAAAATAATTCTCCAAGGTTATTTTATTATATATTTTATAGTATAATTTTTCACATGTAAAACTTTGATCCAGTGGGAATTTATCCTGATGTAAAGTTTGAGCTGTGTTCCAACATTACATAATAACACACCTGCTCAATCCTTGACTTCTAGGAACTATTCTTGATTTTTAAATATATGACTTTTCTCATTACTGACATTTATTCTCTTCAACTCATGAAATGTTAAATATTGATGAACAAAATTACAGTATATTATGCATAAGTATTTACCTGTTTATAGAGGCTAGCATTCCAGGACTGACATGCTGACACTGAGGAGTTTTTGCCAATGGAAAGATAACTGAGGATGGAGTTGTTGGATTTCTGTCCATATTTGGCAGATTATCTTCTTCTTGACTGACCTGGAAATTTGGCAACTAGAATACAAATATTCATTATCAGCAGGCACCCCTAATAATAAAACTCATCACAAAACATTTTTGGAGGGCTTTGTTTTTTTCTGACTTATAATTTCCTGAGATAATGAAAAATATTGGTAGGCAGAGAAGAAAGCTTGTCCTCTAAAAAACTTGGTTGTGTAAAATGAAGACAATGACACCTGTTGCTACAATTTGTATAAACCAGGGGTCAGCAAATGTTTTCTGTACAGAGTCAGATAAGTATTTTGACTTTGTGGTCCATACATTCTCTGTCCCAACTACACAATTCAGCTGCTTGTAGTTTGAGGCAGTCACGGCCAATATGTAAACACTGTTCCTGTCTGTGCTCCAATAAAATTTTGTTAACAAAAAAGGTGGTATGTTAGATTTGTCCCACGCACCAGTTTGCTGACCTCTGTGTAGACAGAACAAAACTATGATTCATTTACTATTATGCTTGGTACTGAATAGGAATTCAAGCAGTATTAAACCTTTTGTGTATATATGTCCAATAAATAATTCAATCCTTAAAATTTTAAGTACCTTTATATTAAAACCACAAGAAGGTGGATATATGCCACAGAAAAGAACTACTTTACCACTTCCTATTCCTATTTTATTACCTTTAGTTTTAAGTTGTTGACACTATTACATTTTGGCCAAAACATATACAGAACCTGAAATGATGATGGAATAATATGCTGGGTACAACCCCGAAGGACCACACTGTTGTGCAGAGAACACAGTAAGAACCTCAGATGGTTCCCTTAAAATACCTCCTCTTATAACCTATGTAGATAAAAGCGGGCCCAGATAATGATGTTAATAAATTATTAAAGCATTGTGTAGCCTTTAAAGATTGAAGATGATTTAACAATATTAAAAAATGAGTAGATGAGCCTCATTAGTAAGTGTGGCTTAGTGGTTGACTGACAACCTATAAATTAGGTCACGGTTCGATTCCAAGTTGATTGTGGGTTCCATACCGTGTGGTGTGTGCAGAAGGCAGCCAATCAATGATTCTTTCATCATTAATGTTTGTTTCTCTCTCTCTCTCTCTCTCAAAATCAATAAAAACATTTTTAAAAATGAGATGAAAAAAGTACCCACCCATCTAGGTCACTAAAACTCAATTTTTACACTTAATAGTTCAGCTGTCTAGATCTATCTACCTTCATATTACTTTAATTTTAGTATCCCTAAGTTTCAAATTTGTACTTAATGTTTGGACTATATTTCACTATATTTATGAAAAATATTCTTAGTCGATATATGGATTGATCTTAGGGTGTTTTTCTGAATAAAAATAAACCTGCAATGATTATCTTTGTCAAGATTTTTGGCATCTTTACAGTTTTGTAGAATAAACTCCCATGAGTAGAATTAATCTTTATGGCTCTCATATGTTGCCAAATGGTTTCCAAAAGGTATGATTCAACTCTGCATCCACTGATGCATGACTGTATCAACATTTCCACTGCTTTTTGTTACTGGACATTTTAACTTATTTTTAAAATGATTCTGTAATTTAGAAGGTATACTTACATAGTAACATTTAAATGAATTCTTTATATCATATTATTGGCTTTGTGTTATTTGTTGCAAATATTTTATCCTAATCAAAGTTTTTAGTTATGTGATTTCTGATGTAGACAATTTATTGTACAGTGAGTAATAATCTTTTATCACTCTCAAAAAAAAGTTTGCCTCATTGTATATGAAATTTTAAATATACACATTTGGCATATTTCTGGGTTTTCTATTTGGTTCTACAAACATTACCCAGGAACCTCATTGAAGGGTAGACAATATACACTGATGAGAATGGCCTGTAGTGGGGATATGTCTGTGGAGACTATCAATCCTTCGCCTAAATATTAGGGATGAACACTAATGGTATATAAAAATAAGATAAAAATCAATATAAAGGAAACAATTAAAAAACAACATCATCAAGCATTCAAGACTCTTACCAGCACTCTTTGTTTCTTCAAAGGTGTTGTGCTAAAAAAATCATCATGGTCATCTTTTGGCAACTGATCCAGAAAATCCCTCATCTGCTGCTTCCTCTTAAGAGTTCCCACTTTGGCAGTTATCTTAATAGCTTGCTTCTCATCTGAATCACCTCTCTTGTCTTAAGAGTCAGCAAAACATTTTGGTAAAAACATTTTGATCATTAGAATAACAGCTCTAAAGTTAACAAACTTGACAAAATCTAAACTGTGTATTCATATTAAGTAAAGTCAGCCTCTATTAATATATTTTTTTTCTATAACAAGGGATCCTTTCTGCACTAAGATGTGCAATATCCTTAGCCCACAAGATACTCATGAAGAAAATGTATGTAAGATTAGGCAGGGTTCGTTAAAAAGGTCTTAATCGTGTGAGAAAGATTATCTCCCATGCTACTCTTACTGATACCTAATTTATTGTTTTTGCTAAAATATAAACCTCTTTTAATTATGACAGACATACTGGACACAACCCCAGGTTTAGAATAGGACTTTTCCAGCATACGGCTTGGGCAGAAGTGTGCACTCCTGGAAGCCATGAAAACTCAATTTATTCTGATAATGAAAACCTACCTTAGGGACCTACCCAAATGGCCTGAAATTAAATTAGACCCTTAGAACAATAACCCAAATATTAAAATTTGTGGATCCAATTGCTGATATCCTGAACAAAGTCAAATCACAAGGCTGCTAATGCTAATGTTGATGGAATCAACTAAGATGCCCAAAGTAAACAGATGATCTTTGGAGTTCTTTCTAGTTTTAAGAAAACATCTATAGTACTGGCTGGTTTTTCTTAGTGGTTAGAGCACTGGCCCATGGACCAACGGGTCTTGGATTCAATTCCTGATAGAGGGTACATATCTCCATTGCAGGTTCTATCCCTTAACCAGGTCAAGGCACATGTTAGAGGCAACCAGTTGATGCTTCTCTCCCTCTCTCCCCTTCCTTACTCCCTTCCACTCTCTAAAATTCAAAACAAAACAAAATTTATAAAACACTTGAATATCCTATATAATAAAGAGCTGATATGCAAATGGTTGTCACACCATCACACCATAATGGCTCAGACAGAACACTAGGGAGAGAGGAATGGGGACCGGCCAGGGAGAAAATCCTGGGAGAGGGACAAGCTGCCCGTCCCGGGGTCCCAGGTACCTGCAGAGGTACCTGTGGATCTGGAGATGAAAAAGCCGCCTGCCCTGTGACCCCGGGTGTTGGTGCATGCGGCCCAGGAGAGACAAGCTGCTTGTCCTGTGGTCTCTGGCGCCTGCAGCTGTGGCCTGGGAGAAACTGCCTGCCCAGTCTTCTGTGGCTGCGACCAGCCTGGGCTAAGCTGGCCCAGGACCTGGATGCCTGTCGGTGGCGGGAGGGAAGCCCTTGGAAGCCCTGTTCTTGCAGGAATCTTATATATATATATATATATATATATATATATATATATATATATATATACATATATACATACATATATATATATATATATATATATATACACACACACACACACACACACACATATAAATAAAATACATATATATATATAAAATACATCTAGTGAGTGATTTATAAGTTGATATAGAAAACTTGGAAAAAACTATCAACTACAAAGTTTACCATTTTTTTGACCTTTGGAATTGACTGGCTTTTTCTTAGTGACATGTTTCTGGAATCCATTTCCTTGGGGATCTTCCATGTATTTTCTCTGGCATTCTTCAGCAGATCGAGAACCTACAGCCATAGCAACATCTGACCAGAAACCAGGTTTGTGCTTGGGAAGAGATGCAAAAGCACTATGGAAGACCAAATCCAGTTAAAGAATAATAAATTAAAAAACTAAAAACAAAAAACAAAACTTGAATGCATATTACTAAATCAATCAGATTTATTGAGCTAAAGGAATTTTACTAAAATCATTCTACTTAACTATCTTGAAGGAAGATACACCCTATACTCAATAACTTACTCTACTGCTTAAAAACATGATGACATAATTTGACATCTAGCAGATGCATTCTATTTTGTTTAATGTGAAAATCATCTCCAATCTCAAGATATTTCTTCCCAAGTCCAACAAATCAGTGATTTGATTTGGGAGGGCTGGAGGGGGCTCTAGCATGACTGTATTTTCTACATTGTTGCTCAAATATTTCTGGTGCTAAATATATTGAAAGATGAGCTCTGAGTTCATATACATTCTAGGTTATGTTGTGGGCACATCCCCAGTAGGGGGTGTGCAAGAGGCAGCTGATCGATGATTCTCACTCATCGATGTTTCTAACTCTCTATCCCTCTCTCTTTCTCTTTGTAAAAAATCAATAAAATATATATATATTTTAAAAAGGTAAAATTATGGCAACTACACTAGCAAAGAAATGAAGATGAAACAAGATCTAGGGTTAAGGAATGAAAAATAGTTCATATTTATAATATGGCAAATTTTATTATTCAAAAGTAATGCCTGCAGGTCAGAGCTCTGGAAAAAAATCCCCATGCTACTTATCCTTTTGTTGTCATCCACCGCTATAACACTGCCAATCCCTGATCTACTTTATTTCTTTTAAAATATTTTATTGATTTCAGAGAGGAAGAGAGGAGAGGGAGATAAAAACATCAATGATGAGAGAGGATCATTGATTGGTTGCCTCCTACACTGGGGATCAAGCCCACAACCTGGGCACAAGCCCTGACTGGGAATCAAAACATTACCTCCTGGTTCATAGGTTGACACTTAACCACTAAGCAACACTGGCCCAGCTTATCTATTTTCTTTTTAGTTGTCTCTTCCAAGATTTCATATGAAGAGAATGGAAGCATATAGCATATAGCCATTTGAGCTGGCTCTTTTCATTCAGCATAATGCCTCTGAAATTCATTAAAGTTGTTACAAGTATCAATAGTTCTTCTAACTTATTACTTAATAGTCCTTTTATCAAGAATGTGCCACAACTGCCCAGCTGGCCTGGCTCAGTGGGCTCAGCATCAACCTATGAACCAGGGGGTCATGGTTAGATTCCTAATCAGGGCATATGCTCAGGTTGCAGGCTCACCAGCGTGGGGTGTGCAGGAGGCAGCTGATCAATGATATTATCTAATTATTGATGTTTCTACCTCTTTCCCCCTCTTCCTTCTTCTCTGAAAAAAAGGAAAAAAAAGAATGTGCCACAATTAATTTATGCAGCAAGTACCACAGAAATCAGGAAGAGATTAGCTCAGTAAAACCACCCCATAAAGGTATGAATTTCTGGGTTTACACTACAAATTCTGAATATTTTAATTTTTTTTCAGTTCCCTTATTCCCTTGAAACTGTGGACTTTTACAGTGTGTTAAATTTTCAACCACTTGGAAAAATTCCTATTGTCTTTCACTGATTTGTTATTTAATTCAATTATGGTCACAAAACACCATTTGAATGACTTATTTTAAGTTTAAGATTTGTTTTATTTAAACATGATGTTCTGTCTTGAATGCTCTAGACAGAAACCTTTGGAATAAACACATTCCTGCATTACTGGATGGATTGTTCCATAAATGTCCATTAAATAGTTGGTTGATGGTCATTCAATTCTTTTATATCTGTGATAATTTCCTATTTACTAGTTCTAAAGAGCACTGAAGTCTACCACTAAAATTGTGGATTTGCTTATCTTTTCAGTTCTGTCCTTTCCTTTTAGATGACAGATTTTGATTAATATATTTTGAGGTTTGTTGTTAGGTGCATGCACAATTAGGATTTGTTAAGTCTTCCTGGTGAAATGACACTTTTATCATTTTGAAAAGCACTTTTTTCTCTTTCATAATTTTCTTCTACAAATCTTTCACAGGTATTAGTATAGCCACTCTTGATTAATCAGGGGTGAACCCCAAAGTTCATAAACAGCTTTATCAGGTTTTTAGTTAGCTTCTTCCTCTTTGTAATTTTGGGTTCCTCTTTTTGTTTCTCTGGCAGAAATTGAGGCTTTAGTTACCTGGCTTTGCTGCAAAGTTTAACTGCATCTTTCTCCAGAAACAACACAGGACAGAATGAGAAAAACACAACAGCCCACCCTCTTGAGAGTGCTACTTCTCTTAATGGAGAGGAAGGCTCCCCACTTTCAGAGTGTAGGTGTATATGGGCCCCACTTGCTGCACTGATTTTCATCCCTGCAGGACAGCATGGAACTGGATATGAGAAGGGAGAAAAAGAGAACTGGAGCATTTCCTCTAATGTTCTGAGCATTAGTAATCCCTTTTCCTGCTCAAGTCAGAACTGGATAGCTTCTCTAACTCTTGTCATGGCATAGTGCTCAATTCCTGTTTAGTTAGCCTTGAGTTTAGCTTGGATGATACCAGAGGAAAAACTAAAAATTCACAGCCAGTTTGGTAGTACTTAAATTTTAATCTCCCTCAACTGACCTGTTACTAATTACCTTTCTGAATCAACAAAAAGCTGCTGTATACATTGTCTTGTTTTTATAACTGTGCAGTAGAAGCTAGAGTGAAGTGTGCTTATTCCACCTGAGAACTGCAGATCAAGCATTAAAAAGTCTCCTTAGATGATATAAACAGCAAAGGTTGGAAACCTTTATTATATGTAAATGATTGGAGAATACAGCTGGAAATAATAACTAATGTTTATTATTATATGCTGACAACGAAAGGCAGAAGAATCTATATAATTTGAAAATTAGTAAGAATGCAATGAAAGTTTCTGAGCTGTTAGAACCACAATTATACAATAAGACTAATGTGGAGATGTATAAAAACAGATTACATATATGAAAAGAATTAAGTCTAAATATAAGGCTACTCCATAGTTCAGGTAAAAGGTATTAAAAATCTGAAGAAGAGTACATTCAAGAAAAAGGGTGCAGATGGAAAATGACCTTATGAAAAGATCTAAAGCTCTTTGGGAACTAATTAAAATTTTAAAAATCAGTAGCAATAAAAAGTTTAAACTTAGTTGTCTGAAAGAATTACATTTTCAGAAATAGGAATGTCAGGCAGTATACAGGCAGGAGAAATAAGTCTGATTTTTGATATATTTAGAGATGTAAGTTAGACTTATGTAGGGATTTTCAGTAGGCAAAGGAAAATACAAATCTAAATATAAGAATTCAGGACCAGCCGAAACCGGTTTGGCTCAGTGGTAGAGCGTCGGTGTGTGGACTGAAAGGTCCCAGGTTCGATTCCGGTAAAGGGCATATACATTGGTTGCGGGCACATCCCCGGCAGGGGGTGTGCAAGAGGCAGCTGGTCGATGTTTCTCTCTCATCGACATTTCTAGCTCTCTATCTCTCTCCCTTCCTCTCTGTAAAAGATAAATAAAATATATTAAAAAAAAAAAATTCAGGACCAAACATACAGATTTGGAAGTTCCTGTGCATAGAAAGAAGTTAGAACTCTGGAAGAAAAAGATCATTGAGAAGCAAGAAAGCACCCAACATGTAACTTGGTTGTGGGCATATCCCCAGTAGGGGGTGTGCAAGAGGCAGCTGATCGATGACTCTCTCTCATCAATGTTTCTAACTCTCTATCTCTCTCCCTTCCTATCTGTACAAAATCAATAAAATACATTAAAAAAGAAAGAAAGCACCCAACCCAAAAACTCTGGAGAATAAGAATGAAGATTGCCCTCTGTGTCTGAAGAGAGGGAACATTTAGGCAATTGAAAATGGAAGACTACAGTGGCTCAGAGATGCGTTCAGAAGAATATTTCAAAAAAGATTTGAAAATAAATTCCAAATGTTATAAGGTTTGAGGGTGCAAAAAGGAGCGGAACACTGAATATGCCATGTTTCTAAGTTATCTTTCTCTTTTTCATCTTACTTTCTTTCTATTAGATAACTTCCATCAGCAAACCACCATACTCTGGCAATGAGTCACATTACAAATTAAGCAAGCAACCAAAGACATGGATTCCCTTCTCTTCACACTATTACCTATGCTTTTCTATTCCCACCATTGCCAAACTTCTTGTGCTGTCCCTCTAAGTTGTCTTTATTATACCATTCACTCTTCATTGCTCAACTATGATCTGGCTTCTAATACTACTAGCTTACTGACATTGCTTATTAAATCCATGTAGCCAAATCCAGTTACCAGCAGCATTAATTATGCAACCTAGGAAAAAATCACCTAATTTCTGGGGCTATTTTCTTTTCTGTGAATGGGGGGGTGGGGAAGACCAGCCAATAGGTCTCCATGTTGAGTGCCAACCTATGAATCAGGAGGTCACAGTTGGGATTCCCAATCAGGGCATGTGCCTGGGTTGCAATCTTGTTCCACAGTGTGGGGCATGCAGGAGGCAACCAATCAATGATTCTCTCATCACTGATATTTCTCTCTCACTCTCCCTTCCTCTCAGAAATCAATTAAAATTTTTTAATAAATGGGAGGTGGGGGAAGAACATCATTAAATAATCTATATAAGTTTGAAGATTTTATAATTATGAATATTTTTTTAAAAAATGTGAGGCAGTGAGAGCATTTGTCTATGTTGAAATATATTCTCAACTTTATTGAGTTATAACTGATAAGTTATATATATTTAAAGTCTACCCAAGATCATTTGACATATATATTGTGATCACCACAAACAATTAACACATCCACCCCCTCATAGTTACTTTTCTTCAATAAATGGGGGGTTGGGAAGGGAAGGTGCATGTTAGCAATATTAAATGGAAATGATAAGCTCACATATATACTGTATAGATGGCCACAAAAAATAAACATGTAGATGGCAGTTATTTATATTTTCCCTCCATTCTCTGTATAAATTCTAATTTTTCTTTATGTGCTTTTGGATGACATATTCTATTTTAAAGATCAGAAATTATTAAATCACCCCTTCATTGGAGTTATTTAAAAAAAAAAATATATATATATATATATATATATATATATATGATCGTTTACAGAGAGGAAGGGAAAGGGATAGAGAGTTAGAAACATCAATGGGAGAGAAGCATCCATCAACTGCCTCCTGCACACTCCCTACTGGGGATGTGCCTGCAACAAGGTACATGCCCTTGACCGGAATCAAACCTGGGACCCTTCAGTCCCCAGACTGACGCTCTATCCAGTGAGCCAAACCAGCTAGGGCTGGAGTTCTTGTCTTCAACTATTTTGTGCTACTCAGGATATTTTAGAATCAAATTTAACTACTTACCAATGAAGCTTCTCTAATTCCTTCTCATTCCATTCTTCATCCTGAATTAAACCAGGTAAACATTCTAAGGAATGCCTCTTTGTCTGATCAGATCCCTTTTTGTTAATAATACCAGATTTCTGACAATTTATTTCAGCAGAACATCTAGCTTTCTGTTTTAGAGTATGAAATTCAGTTTCACTTTCTTCAGTTTCAGATTCAGAGGTCACTGAGATTTTTCCAGTGATGTTCCTTCTGCTTTTTCTCTGGTGGACTACTGTTTCCTTGGTATTTCTTGCTGTGGTTTTTTTAATATCCGCAGCTTTTGTTCTAATTTTCTTTCCCGTTTCACTCTTGTCAGCAGACAAATCTTGATTTGTTATTTGATTTTTTTCAATTTTCTTTGATGTTGATAACTTTGTATTGTTCTTAAAGTCAGAGGTGACCATTTGTTTTTTGTTAGAACTAGGTATTTTTATTTTCTGGTTGACAGTGAGTATATCACGTTCAATGCAATCTTCCTTGTTTATGCTTGTATGATCCACGTCACACTCAAATGTATCTTTGAAAGTCTTTCTGGGCTTACTAATTGGACAGGTAGTTTCATTTAAGTCTGATTCACTTTCTTTTTGATGCGTTGGCACCAGAAAATCTGATACTGCTTTAATGGCACCAGGGGACACATTATACTTCATGCATTTTTGCTCTATCACATTTTTAGATGTAAGTGGTGTTAATACAACATAGACTTCCTTCTGATTAGTAGCCACATATTTTCTTTCTTCGTCTAACAAAGGTGACTTCCCTGAGATGATAATATCAATGGATACCTTCGATTCTTCGGATTGCTCTTTAATTTCATAAGATAAAACCAAAGATCAAAATCTCAAATTAGCTACAAAATTTAAAAAACTGTTTTTCACAAATAAAATATATATTAATCTTGCTGAAACACCAATCTGTTTAGATCACTGTCCTTTCAATTGTAAACATATTATTTCTTAATACCAACTTGTCCAGGACTTTTCATGGTATATTTAGTGTGCAAATAAGCTCCTCTATCTGGCCTTTAATATAGTTCACTCCTGCATTCAAGTCTGAACCATATTCTATGTCTATGAGACCACCGTTTCTCAAATTTATTCTACTTGGAAAATTTCTTTCACACATTTACAAACCAAATCACTACCTGCTTCAATCTTATACTCCAGCCTACTTAGTCTACAAACTTTGTCTTGATTTCCTCAACTGAATGAAAGCTCTTTCAAATTTCTAGAATATTTTAAAATAATGCCATGTTTGGCATTGTGCCCTGCATATAATTACACTTGTCTTATCTTTCAACTAGTTTGAAAGTATACTTAGTAATTCTGTCTTCACTTGTGAATTATCTTCATTTTACTGGAGTTAGTTCAGTCACATATGTAGTAGAAGCTGGATAATTATTTGTTGGGTTGCTAAAACCTTACTACTTATATAACATGAAATAAAAGGTATGTTACTGAAGAAGGGAATTAAAAGAACATGAAACTCCATTTGCATGGCCTCATTCTCATTCATCCCTAATTGTAGCTATCAAGGCAATCTTTTGCTGAATCCCCAAAATCTTTATGAATCATCATGGGAAAACAACCCAAACAGAATTGAGTTTTATTATACCATGTCACTACATAAAGAAAATAAATTATATGAAATTCTCAACTCTAAAACTTAAGAAACCAGAAGCTAAACTAATTTAGTTTCTAACTTTAAATTATCCAGCTATAATTATAAATAGATATAAACTGTAAATTATAACACCAATCATCAGTGACACACTGCCAACAACCTACACATATTATGTGACATTTAAAAGACGAATGACAAAAAGAAAAGAAACTTCTAAATTATAATTCATGAAATAGTACTAATCAAAATCAATAAAGTTTCCACAACACTTCTCAATGGAATTATATATTTTTACATTATGAGCTAAGTGTTTTCTTCTAATTCCTTATTACAAATGTGATTCAAATGTTCAATTGGCAATTTAAAAATTTTAAACTTTCTAATTTTGAGCAAAATTTTTTTTTATTGACTTCATTAAATAACCTGAATAAAGATCCAGGCTATTCTGGATATTTTTAAGTCATACAAATTTGGTAAGTAGTATTATTGCTCTTCAGTCTATTTTTTTTTTTACACACTTATAAATGTTCTCCACTTTCATTTTTCACTTATAAGCAATAAAATAGAAAAAAACGCTTTTAAGCTTATAGATTCAATTAAACATTAAGTTTTAAACTCCCTAATGCATAGAGAAAAGGTCCTATATATTCAGGTATGCAGGATTTCAATGAAATCATTTTGAAAAATCCACACTTACATAAAACTAAATTATGGCTTATTAACAATTTAATAAAAAGATTGTCTTTAAACATTACTAGAAACATTTTAATAACATATTTCATGATTTAAAAAATTATTTAAAGCTACCTTGATTAAAGAAAGCAAACCTATACGTGAATGTATATTTAAAGCAATGAATTATTTCATTTTGTAAATCATCTTCTGTAAAAAGATAACTAATATTTAATAAGCATTAAAACAGTCGATCATTTTAGATTTGGAAATTTATGAAATCACTTTTTAAAAAATATATATATTTTACTGATTTTTATACCGAGAGGAAGAGAGAGATATATAGAGTTAGAAACATCAATGAGAGAGAATCATCATCAGCTGCCTCTTGCACAACCCCTAGGTACATGCCCTTGACCAGAATCGAACCTGGGACCTTTCAGTCCGCAGGCCGACGCTCTATCCACTGAGCCAAACCAGTTTTGGCTGAAATCACTTATAATATGTTAAAAAATTTCAAATATTAACTTTCTACTTATCCTATATAATAAAAGGCTAATATGCAAATTGTCCCATTGATTGGGAGTTTGACCAAAGGCGGCCCAGCTGGCCAACCTCCCATGTCCCTTCTCCCTGCCAGCCTAGCCCGATGAACCCCAATTTGAGTGGGGCGATCAGACCCCATCCGTGCACAAATTTGTGCACCGGGCCTCTAGTTACAAAATAAAACAATAATAAGGATATATTACCTTGCTTCTGACTTTCAATTTTCTCTTTATTTATTCTTTCACAATTTTTGGTTTTTTTTGAAGATAACTTCTTATATTCCCTTTTTCCGATCAATTCCTTCAAAATCAAAAGATAACTTTTTACTATAACAAGTACTACCTATAAAACATGACTGCAAGCATTTTCACAGTATGACTCAAGCACACAAATTTCTAGGTAGCTTATAGAAATCTTATTAGCAGAGGTATTCAAAGCTTAAGCTTTGGAAGCACCACGTGGGTAACCACATTCTCACATCTTTCCTAATTTAGTACTATCATTTAAAATGTGCATGTGCATGCGCATGTATGTGCACGCCCCCCCCACACACACACCCAATCTCTCTCTCCCTCCCTGCCTTCCTCTCTCTATTTAAACCTTACTCTATAGCTAAAAACTTTGTTATTCTTGCTTCTTGCCTGCACTTTTCCAGTGAGGCACTAGGAAAATAAATATCAAGACATTTACCTACTATCTCTAAACTAATAAAAAGCAATACTTAACAAAAGAAACTCATGATTTCTCATTTGGTCTTGAACCTTGTCAGTAGTATCATATCACGACTGTACAGTAGTCAATAAAAGCTTACCTGATTAGGTAAGTCACATTCTTCCCCTTTTTGAACAGTATTCTTTATTTGGTCATCTGGTAAGCTTAATGATGGTTTATTTTGAAGATTACTCTGGCAAATGTTTAATTCTATAGCTCCTGGCAATGTACTGTGCTTACTCTTCTTCAGTTCTATGAGTACAAAGATGGAGATTTAGATAAAATGATTATATAAAAGTTAAGCTGCTATTCCCCATTAAGAACTCACTTTGAAAAAGTCTAATCCAATGTCACAAATATTTGTTAAATTTGATTATGACATAAAGCAATTTTAGTTGGACAGAATCATTCTGCATAGGGCTATATTTTGTTCAAATCACGTTTATTCTCTTAAAAAATAAAAGAAAAAAAAATGGACAGCCATATTATTCCTTATTATGTTTTGAATTTCCTTTGCCACATCTAAAGCAAAATAGAAACATTACACCATTTTGTAAATACAAATTCCCTTTCATCCAAACTCTACTAACTAAACAGAAAGTGAATTAACTATATTTCCCTTATATTTCTTCAGGTATATTGAATTCTTATGTTTCAATTAATTTATGTATACCAATGTATAACTAAATCCATTATAATTAAAATTTTAAGCAAAACCAAATTATATAGTATACAATATAGGCTTAAGAAACAGTTATTGAGCTAAAATTCTAGGTAAGTTAAAAAGAATTTGTTAAACTATAAACATTTTTATTATTATTCTAAAAGCTGTATTTGAAGATACATAATGGATGGTGTCCTTCCTCTGAGATTATTACAGTATGGTGAAGAAGGCTATTATAATAGATCACCTATAATATATTCTGGTTAAGTATAACAGATATTAAATATTTTAATACAATAGTATGACATATGGATTATAGCACTAAATATGCAAAACCACATTTTAAGTAAATCACACACACAATCACATCATTTTAAATTATCACTGATTAGCGCCTTTGCATACTTTTAGTTGTTTAATGTTAGACATGGTTTTGTTTTATTTCAGTGGTTTTCTCATTAAAAAAAAAAAAAGACAGCACAAACCACCACCACTCAAAATAACTTATGTAATATGAGGACACACAATGTCTTAACATTTTCACAAAACAAAGATTTAATAAATCACACTAGAAAAATGATATACCTTAAAAAAAAATCCATTAATATTTGCCCCTAACCTGAGCTTCCCAAAGGGGAGGCATCATCTCATTTTATTCATTTCTAAATTGCTAGCAGCTAACAAAGATCAAGGTTCATGGAAAGTGCTTTAAAAATATTTGTTGAATTATTTTATTATAGACACAGGTAGCATGTAGAATAGTTTACCAAATTTTAGAATTTTACATTTGTATCTTCAAACACTTTACCAGTAACATTCACAATTTAAACATTTATGAAAAACACTGCTTAAGACTTAAGACTAAAGAAGATTAATAAATGATAAAAGTAAGATATACGTTTAGGAATTTTAAATTTAGGAGTAAAAAAGTATATAGCAGTTTCTATAGCCCCACGACTCCGGAATACTGAAGATGGTCTAGCAAATGACAATGAGCAATATTTCAAATTTATAAACAAATAGGATAACTTTTCAAAAAAAGAGGAAAGGTTGAGAAAAAACTAGACGAGTGACTTTTAGCTAGCCCTGAGCAAGCAGTCATCTACATATTTAATCCATTCCTTTGTACTAGAAAGGATAAGCAAAATTACAAAGGCGGGCCTATGAACATAGGGAAGTGGGGTGCAGTGGGGGACTTATAGGATGCCATGACTTTGGTAGAAGCAATCCTGTAAAGCTCTTTGTTACAAGGTTAAGGTAGAATCAACATAAATGTATACAACAGATTCTAATTAACTTTTATTCATCTATATTTTTTAGAAAAGGCTATGAAGTAAATTATAGTTTTGGCAAAGAGGTGACACAGAACAGTTTTGCCAGCTACCTTTATAGCAGTGGTCATTCAAAAAACATGCCATTACCTCCATAAAAACAAACTGGTATTGTCTATTAATGAAAATAAAATTTGGTACAAATTAGGCATATTTAACATATAGGTTTGAGTTAGTTAGCAGCCTAAATACCTTGCGTCTAGGAAACTAAAAGAACCATATCTTTCATTGATATATTTATCAGATTAATTAGGTAACATTTAATGAAGTAAGTTGAATGCTAACTGCTTTGTAGTTTTTCTTCAAGTAGTGAAAACTCAAAAATTTTAGGACCAGATTAGAACACAATTGTTTATGCACTGTAAACAATTAAACAATGTGGGGTTCATGTAAGAATATACTACCATACCAATAGAGAAGAAAAGAGCAAACATACCCAAATGGTTACAATCAAGATCATAAATGGTGCTGGTTTTTTGGGGGCCATCTGTTTGGTTTACTCCTGCATCATTTTTCATTGATTTCCCTATGTCAGGCACAAATCTTCTACTTTTCTGTTTTTGTCTGGCCTTTTTCTTTTTCTTTTCACAAGACCTAAAAACATACATTATATTCTCTCTATTGTTGGTTCCCAGAAAAGTGAAAACAAAAAACTATAATAAAACCCACAAAAAAATGAAACTCTCCTATGATCTAACCTCAACCCTAAATATAATAGCACTAACCCTAACTATAACATACCAACCCTAATCCTAACGCTAATCCTAACATTGTTCCTAATTTTAAACTTAATCGTAACCCTTACACTAAAGCTACCCAAAAACCTTACTCTAATTATAAAACAAATCCTAACAATAAGCCTATAATTATTCTAATACTTAACCCTAAACCAAGCCATCACCCTAACCCTAATCCCAAATATTACACCTATCCTTAAAACTAACCTTAGCCATACCTAATTTTTAAACTAACCCTAACCCAAAGACTAATCCTGAACGTAACTAACTTTTAGTCCTAACCTTATATCTAATCCTAAAGGTAACTCTAACAATAATTTTGAACTCAGCCCAAACCCTAACCTAATCTTTAAAACTAACACTATACCAAAAAATAGAGAAAATTCTCTTAGCTAAAGTTCTTCAGCATAGTAAAGATTATCTTTAATCTTACATAATTTAAGCTTTCATGGCTTCCACTCCCTTTCCCACAAAAAACTCAGTACAATATAAAGTTTACTGAAACATAGCCATGTTCATTAAGACACTATGTTGCTTTTCCTCTACAAAGAGTTGGAGCAGTTGCGATAGAGCATGCCCATAAAAGTACTTACTAGCTGACCCTTTACAGAAAAAAATTGTCAACTCCTGTTTTGTGACTAGTTAACTGACATCACTCCATCCCCTCTGAGTTCCTTAAGGGCAAGATTTAACCAAATTCTCCCTGGTTTTCCCCAGTGCCAACAGAGGGAATGAATGAAAGAAAAAAGTACCACAAACAGCTATTTGATACATAAATGTAGAATAAGGATGACTCCTTGAAATGTCCAAGGTTTTATTTTCCATAAAAAAGAAATTAACCCACTGCATATTGGTTATATAAGTATACATTTTTAAAAGCTCACCTAAAATGGATGCATTTTATCAAATGAAAATTATGCTTCAATAAAATTGTTTTTTATATAAAAAATACTTTACCTTAATTGTTCTAGAAAAGTATCAATGTGTTCTTTCCAATTTTCTGGAAAGCCAAACATAAACTTCCTTATGAGATAATATGGATAACCTATGTAATAATAAACAAACAAAATTATCTAAAAACCTAGAATTTTGAAGACATGTCATTAATTCATTAAAAAAAACAAAAACATACATACAATTATTGTTTACTATGTGCCAGGCAGGCACTGTTAAAGATACAAGGATTCAGCAATTAGCAAAACAACCCAAATCCATACTTTCATGGAACTTGCCTTCTAATGTGAAACAAAAGGCAAACAAACAAGTAAAATATATTGTTAGATGGACATTGATACTATGAAGAAAAATCATGCAGTTGAGGGGGAAAAGAAATATCAGTGTGTTCACGAAGACAGCATCTTTAAAAAGGATAGGCAAGCCCAGTTGGTGTGGCTCAGAGGCTGAGCGTCAGACTATGACCAGGAGGTCATGGCCTACGAACAGGAGGTGCCGGCTGACTCTGTCAGGGCACATGCCTGGGTTGCGGGCTTGACTCCTTTGGCTCCTGCAGGAGGCAGCCAATCAATGACTCTCACCACTGACGCTTCTGTCTCCCTCTCCCTCTCCCTCCCTCTCTGAAATATATATATATTTTAAAAAAGGATAGTCAGAAAAAACTACAGAATTTCAGAGGGAAAGTGGGAATGGGTGTGAATTAACCAGGAAACTTATATGAATAGCCCATGGACACAGAAAATAAGAGTGATGAAGGCGGACAATGTGAAAAACAAAAGAGGATATCTGCAATACTTTCAACAATAAAGATTTTTTTAAAAAGGATAGAGATATTCTTACTGAAATAGCATTGAAAACCTTGAAGGATATTATAAGGCCTTGGGGTCATTTTATTAATACAGACCTAGTCTCTTACTTTGAGTGAGACAGAAAGCTATGCAAATGCTATGATCAGAGAAGCCACAGGCATTGACTTTAATAGGATTGTAATAGCTGCTATTGTGAGAAGAGTCTATGGAAGAACAATGGGAGAAACATGGAGACCAGTTAGGTTACTGCAATGATTCAGAACATAAGAGAGGTTTGGACCACAATGGTCAGCAGAAGCCCAGATTCTGGATATATTATGAAGATAATGCCAATAGGACATACTGACATATTAATGTGTGCGGGAAAGAATCTAGAATTTAAGGATGTCTCCAAGGATTTTAGCTAGCCACTGAAAGAGTGGAAAGAGGGGGAAGTCTGTAGATTAAGCAGATTTAAGAGAGATGAAAATGTTTTAGATATATACAGTCCTGCACTGCATAAGGAGGTTTCGGGTAATGATGGGCTGCGTGAGTATATGAAGGCAGCCCCATTAGATCATAATGAAGTTGAAAAATTTGTATTGGCCCTAATTGGTTTGGCTCAGAAGACAGAGCATCGGCCCTGAAGGGTCCCAGGTTTGATTCCGGTCAAGGGCATGTACCTTGGTTTCGGGCACATCCCCAGTGGGAGGTGTGCAAGAGGCAGCTGATCAATGTTTCTCTCATCGATGTTTCTATCTCTGGATCTGTTTTTTTTTTTTTTTTTTTAAATATATATTTTATTGATTTTGTACAGTGAGGAAGGGAGAGAGATAGTTAGAAACATCGATGAGAGAGTCTTCGATCAGCTGCCTCTTGCACACCCCCTACTGGGGATATGCCCGCAACCAAGGTACATGCCCTTGACCGGAATCGAACCCGGGACCTTTCAGTCCCCAAGCCGATGCTCTATCCATTGAGCCAAACCTGTTTCGGCTGGATCTGTTTTTGTTCATCAGTTTATGTTGTTCATTATATTCCACAAATGAGTGAGAGCATGGTGGTATTTATCTTTCTTTGACTGGCTTATTTCGCTTAGAATAATGCTCTCCAGTTCCATCCATGCTGTTGCAAAAGGTAAAAATTCCTTCTTTGTTACCGCAGCATAGTATTCCATTGTGTAGATGTACCAGTTTTTTTAATCTACTCATCTGCTGATGGGCACTTAGGCTGTTTCCAAGTCTTAACTATGGTGAATTGTGCTGCTATGAACAAATGGGTGCATACATCCTTTTTGATTGGTGTTTCTAGTTTATACATCCTTTTTGATTGGTGTTTCTAGAGTATAAATTTGGCATTTGTCACCACATAGATTAATATTTAAAGCCTCAAAGGAATCAGCATAGTACTGAATGTAGAAAAAGCCCTAGTCTATCCATTAAGAGACAATGAAAAAGGAAAAACGAGCAAAGAAACGAAGAAGGAACATGGAGGGAGAAAATCAGAATATGGTATTTTAGAAGACAAGTGAAGTGTTTCATCAACAAATGACAAGTGCTGGAGAGGATGTGGAGAAAGGGAACCTTCGTTAATACACTGCTGGTGGGAATGCAGACTGGTGTAGCCATTATGGAAAACAATATGGAGTTTCCTGAAAAAAATAAAAATGGAACTGCCATTTGACCCAGTGACCTGAAATACCAATCAGAAAAAATGTATGCACCCCATGTTTATAGCAGCACAATTTACAATAGCTAAGATCTGGAAACAGTATAAGTGCCGATCAGTAGATTAGTGGATAAAAAAAAGCTGTGGTACATTTATGCCATGGAATACTATGCAACAGTAAAAAAAGAAATGCTTATCCTTTGAAAGAGCATGGAGGGACCAGAAGAGTATCATACTATTTTCCGGCGTATAAGACGACTTTTGAAACGAAAAAAAAAGTCAACCGAAAATTGGGGGCAAAAGACCAAAATTGCACAAAAATTACCTGCAGATCTTGATGGCAAAGTAAGTCTTTTCTTTGAAGTGGGGGGTAGTCTCATACAGCGAATATAGGCCTAAACCAGGTGTTGGCAACCTGCGGCTCCCAACAGCAGGGCCGATAGCAGGGGGCGGGGGGGGGGTGGGGGGGGGCGGCGCAGGAGCTGTATCACTTACCTCCGCGCCACCCCCTCCCCCTCCTGTGGCAGGTTGCCGGCGACTTAGTGTCGCTAGGCAACCACAGCATTCCTGTCCTGGCCCAGCCTCCTCCCTCACATCACAGCTTGTGATGTCACTGAGGGCATGCTGAGCGTGCACCTCTGAGCTGGGGAGGAGGAGACTGCTGCGAGGGGAAAGAGGTGCTGACAGAGGGGACACTGAAAAATAATTTTAAAAAAAGCAATAAAGAGAAAAAAGGGAGAAGGAAAAAGAAGATAGAGAGGACAGAGAGGACTGGAGAAAGAGAAAGAGAGGGCTTGCAGTGTGACTGTCACTGGGAGTCGGGCCTGTACAGTGAGTGGAAAGCATATATTCTGACCTCCTGCTCCACAACAAGGTCCGGTGGCTGTCCAGAGGCGAGGTGCTAAAACGCTTTGTCGCATGTTTGGAAGAAGTAAAAACTTTCCTGTCCAGCAAAGAGCTCACCTTTCCTGAGCTGGAACAACCAGAGTGGCTGGAAAAATTACATTTTATGGTAGACATGACAGCACATCTAAACACACTAAATACAACCCTTCAGGGGAAAGGAGGCACAGCCCTGCACATGCTGGAGGAGGTTTTGGCATTCGAGCGCAAGTTGACAGTGTTTGTCAAAGATTTACAGAGAGGTACACTGTCTCACTTTCCCTCTTTGAGAGAGTTCAAACAAAGTCGTGATACAATAAATTTGGAATATTTGAAGTCTGCAATCACCACAATGCAAAGTTCGTTTGGGAAACGATTCTGTGAGTTCAGAGAGGAAAAAAACACATTATCCTTCCCTGTCACTCCCCTGGTGATCGATCCATTCCTATTGAATATGACTGCATTTGCAGGTGTAAGTCTACCTGATCTTGAGATGGAACTGGCCGATATAGCCGACAAAGATATATGGGTGTCCAAGTTCAAATGCTTGGCCGCTACTCTTGAGGATGTTGCCCGTCAGAAGGCCATTCTGGCTCAGAATCATAAATGGAGTGATATTGAAAACCTTCCCAAACAGGACAAACTTGTATTCGAAATATGGAATGCCATCCCCAACACTTATATAAACATGAAAAAGTATGCATTTGGAGTCCTGTCGATCTTCGGCTCCACTTATGTATGTGAGCAGGTCTTCTCCAACATGAACTACATTAAAAACAAACATCGGTCACGCCTCACAGATGACAACTTGCAAGCCTGTGTGAAAATGAAGGTAACGTCTTACAGCCCTGATGTGCAGACACTGTGCACTGAGGTTCAGGAGCAAAAATCCCATTAACCAGGTAAATTAAATATTTTAATTAGTTATTAATTTGCAAAAATATATTTTACATTGTTAAGTGAAAAAATTCTTTTTTTCTTCAGATTGACAGCTAACTGCACAATCTGGTATATAGCATTAAAGTAAGAAACAATATATGCAGTGTTATATTTGTTTTAAATGTCGCAATGATTTTGCGGCTCCCAGGTTTTTTTTTCCTTCGAAAACGGGTCCAAGTGGCTCTTTATGTCTTAAAGGTTGCAGACCCCTGGCCTAAACCTATGTTTTAACTGTAAAATTAGGGGATTGTCTTAGACACCGGAAAATACAGTAAGTGAAATAAATTAGTCAGAGAAAGACAACTACCGTTGTTTCCCCAAAAATAAAACATCCTCCGAAAATAAGACCTACTTACAGGTTTCCTTCTGAGTGAAATATAAGCCCCCCCTAGGCTCTGTCTCAGAATGAAAATTAATTTGCTGTAAACTGGTCTACACTGACTGGCATCTAGCAACCAGTGACTTTACTCAGTCCTGACCTCACTGCTTTTGGAGGCGGAATGGAGGTTGGAGTGAGCGGTGAGTGCGGGGCGGGAGAGAGGAGGAGACTTTCGCAGATGCATGTAGAAGACAGGAAAATTAGAGCGGAAGGGACACTGCAAAGGTGGTGAGTGCTGGCCTGTCTCTGGTGACACTACCTGATGCTCGCGGCCGCCCTCATGATGACTGAAGGCTCTCAGTCAGTGGCAGACCCTGCTCCAGCCCAGATCCAGGCCCCAGCAAGCCCAGTGACAGTCCCCAGGCAGGCCCCAGGGGTAAATGTCTGATAAAGGGGTAGGGGGAATGTCTGGTGAAGGTGTTCAGTGGCACAGGG